CACGACCAGGTGCACCCTCACATAGTCGGCCATGAGGGACATGAAGCTCATCATCAGCTCCGGGTTGACATCCGCCTGGAAGAAGAAGAGTAACCAGCCGAACGAGGAATCAAGACATCCATCCAACAAACGGGCGAGCTCTTGTTTATGCTACAGCAGAAGCGGCCGAACTGTGGCACAGCGATGCTTGGGGGGAGCGTACTCTTATGTTTTGCGTGCCTTAGCGGTTAGACCATTGACCACGCGTCTTCGAGAGGACGGAGCATTCCCACAGGACCGATCACCGATGGTCAATCGTTCCTTTCTACTTTGCCAAAGGTGGCTCAAAAATGTCCTCCCTAGTCTATCTATCCTTACGATATCCCTTCCCGCCTTTTCAAGAACCTCCTATGCCCCAGTACAGCTATCGTCCTTTTCTCTCTATTCCATGCCGCAGACATCTCTTGGGGGGGGGGGGGGGGGGGGGGGGGGGGGGGGGGGGGGGGGGGGGGGGGGGGGGGGGGGGGGGGGGGGGGGGGGGGGGGGGGGGGGGGGGGGGTTGGCAAGGAAGGTGGTGCCGCCGTGCCAGGAAGAGCTTCCTTTCTCGAAAGCAACATGGTTGTCATAAGCCCGAGAGCTTTGCGGTAGTAACATGACGCAATATATTATACCCGCTGGACGGATTTTCAAAGCTTGATTTCTCAAAAGCAGATGGGTCGGCGATGCCGAAAGCGGCGGCAGCGTTTGAGCCGTCTCGTCGAGAGATAGCTACGAAAAAGTATTGTTTCATTTATGAACCCTCTTCGTCGCAAAGTAATCGAGCTTTGAAAGTGGGTCCAGTGTGTGGCATCTTGTGTCTCCTGCCGTATTATGATAGTCGAAACCCACACTCAACATGGAGCGGGTTACAGATGCTGTTGCAAATTTTTTTAACATGTACCGGAGATCATGCGATTTCAGCGCAAGACTTTGGAAAAACGTCCTGACTCAAAATCTATGAATCAACGAGATGTCTACACGCCCCGATCGCGCGGTTCGCACGTGCTAGGTAGCCGAAAAAGAAGCAAGAATCAAGGGAACGCTGTATGTGTGCGCCAATACGTACAAACCCCCCACAGCATCCAGCGCACCCCCGACGCGGTACAACCTGGATCATGCCGCACTGTATAAACACAAAAACCCACCGCGAACTTGAGAGGGATTCCGTTGCGGCAGCCCGACATGTCCCGCAGCTCCTCGACCATACCGTCCCTGTCGCACGCAGGCAGGGAGAGACAAGACGACTGACTGTCTTTGCTGTTGCGAAAACAGAAAAAAGAAGGGTTCCGTGTGTCTCGCAGAAAAAAAAAAAGAAGAAAGCTAAAAACGAAGCTGACGAGAAACGAAGACTCTGTCGCCTCACCGGTACGTGGGGGGGGCAAACCTTGGGGAACGCACAACTTACACCACATCACAGCAGCACCCTACTGCTGAAGATCACACGTGCCACACACCCCACGGCGTCGTAAGTCGCGTGATACACATACGGCCGTGGCACAACCTGACGTACCCGTGGAGTGTGTGCGTTACCACCCAGGTGTCTGTGCAGCAATGCCGCACGGCCGTCTACCATTGGAGGCAGGGCAAAGAGGAGCAAAGTTGTCGACTTTTGGTCTAGGCTCATATACAGCTGCGGGTGCTTCTTTCCTGCTACGACTTACCTGCTGCGCCATGCATAGCCATCTCATGTGCCAGACTAACCCACTTAGTTACTGTGTGAATGTGACCCCCTACCTGACTTCCGTGACCTCCTCGAAGACCTGAAACACGCCTTCCAGCTCCGACAGCACCCCCCGCGCGTGCCCGTCGAAACCCACCGCCTGGCCGGAACAGTTAGTTTTTACGGTCTGTTAAGTGACTCTTCTTACATCGAAGGCTTTTGCGCCCTCTGATTGGTCGAGCAGTGGGTCGGGAGGTCGATTTCCGCATTCCGAGAAGCCGTGTTCTTCCCAGTTCTCGGCCGACAGGCCGTCCGTTGGCCGTTGGTGAGGGCTAGGGTTGGGTTGGGTTGAGTTGGGTTGGGTTGGGTTGGGTTCGGTTGGGTTGGCCACCCGCGTGCGACACGCCCCGTACTGCGGAGCTATGGTGCAACGAAAAACTCCCATCTCCTGTACGCCCTCCTGTACAATCCTGGATTGATCGATTGATGCCAAAATTATCACTCGCCCCCCTTGGAGGGGCATGCCGAAGGTTGTCCCGCGTGCGCGCCGCCGCATACCATGGGATTCCGGACCAGAACCGCTGACAACGTGCTCGTGTTCGCCCCGGTATCGACGGCTCTATTTTGTCCTTGCAGCAGTACCGTGCGTTTTCTCGCGTTGAAAAGCGAAGGCAATCACCGAGGAGGGGTNGGGGGGGGGGGGGGGGGGGGGGGGGGGGGGGGGGGGGGGGAGGAACCCTTCCGTGTGACTGATCACGGGTTGGATACCATATATGACACAAGATAACACACCCCTTGGACCGATTTTCAGGCTCGATTACTCTACGACGAGAGGATGCATAAACGAAACGATACATTTTCGGAGAGCTCTCGACTAGTAACAGACAGAAGGCTTCAACGCCCCCGTTTTCGGCGCTGCGACTCTTTCTGCTGTTGATAAATCGAGCTTTCAAAATCGGTCGGGGGGAGTGTGTTAACTTGTATCGTATACGGTGGCTCCTACCCGGCCGTGAGCTGTGAGCGCTGATAACAAAGTGATGGAAAAAAAAAATGTAGATAATATATACCTTGGCCGTTTCGAGCTGGTCCGGGAACGACACCTCCATCTTCTTCCTCATCTTGCCGTAGTCGGGGTTTCGAAGGCAAAGAGGCTTCGCCTGCCCCTGCCCGTTCGGCTGCAGCGTGTGGTGCTCCAGGAACGAGAGCCGAGCCATCACACCCTCCGCAGCGCGCCGGAGAACATGACACCTTCACCAGCCGTAGGAGGCGCAGCAGCAGCAGCAGCAGCGGTTATAGGACAAGCGAATAAGAGACGCGCGTGGCATTGCAAGATGGTTTGAAGCGACGCCAGTGAGAGCGTTGCAAAGCTTGGCGTCAGCTTTCTCCAAGCGCTTCACGGGTAGCCGCGATATCTGGATAAAAAACATGTTGTGCGCGCGCACAAGGAGATGTTGCATGGCCTTTCCTCTGCCTTGCGCAGCCAGCCGCCTGTTGTAGCGGCACCCGAACTCGAACACTAAGCTGGCCTGTTCGAGCTTTGAGATTTTCTCGAGGCAGACCTCGTTCAAAGTTGGTATGGACAATTTTACCATCTGCACGGGGCTACTCCTGCCCGTGGGAAGAAACATCCCAAGCAACCGATGTCGAGGGCACCAATTAGGCTCCTGATTTTGTGCTGATGATTCGGATAATGACGTGCATCCGAGAACAAAATGTTGTTCACGGACGATTATTGTATGCTGTGTGATTCGTAATGATCTCAACGGCAATGACGTTTGATTTCTTCGCGAGTGGTGAGGCTCACTCTCTGGGTCTCTGTATTGTGGTGGTGTCTGTATTGGTGTCTTGCAATACCGATTATTGGGCTACATGGCCTGTTATCCCGCCTGTCGCTTCGCCATCGAGCGGTGGGACATTAGTCTCCGGGGGAGTAGGGAGCTGCATGGAGGTGAGAACGTAGTGCAACAGTCAGGGGCCCTCTTACAGTGCGGGTTATACATGCGGGCGAAATTGGCTGGAACAGATGGAAAATGATCAAGATGGCCAAAAAGTGCGGGAGCCCTCTTTTGGTGGTGCGGGTCCGGGTGGAAGCGCTTGGCACATTACCGCACTATAGAGGGCCCCCGACTTGTACATGAAGACAACAAGAAAGACCACAGCGCAAACCCACTTTACGCCACGCACACGTGGATAAAAGGTATGCACAACTGGCCAGTATGGAATCAGAGTAAGGGCGAAGACTTGAGCTCTCGCACTTGCCGTGGCAGGCTCGATAGTTGAATCACGCGCACTGGCCGTTGTTGATGTTTGTTGGATGTGTATCGACAACCTCGTCGAAATCACACAGCACCATCGAAATCACACCACAGCACCAAGCATATTTCTGATACTTTTGCTGTGGTCGCCTTCGTAGATTTCGCACTACAACAGCGGAGCAGTACCCAAGGGAGAAGGCAATAGCTGCTGTGCTGTGCTGGGCGACAAGGCAAAGTTGACTGCTGTGGGTTTGCGTATACTATCCCATTCTCCATGCCGAGGGCAGTGTGGATACAAGGAGAAATGATTGCGCCGCAGTTGGGAGCGTGGAAGAACACAGGTGCAGAAATAGAGACTAAAGCAGCAGTACTGCTGAAGCAATAATGGTCTAAACACAATTATGAGAAGGAGATATTCAAAAATTTGAACGACAACACACAGGAAAGCAATACAGCAGCAGTAATTCCTCAGCGTGATGAATGCGGTCTCGAAGTTGGTAAAGCCCGAGTCCCACTGCTGCTGTGTTTCCGCCGCTCGCTACTTTTTCGCTGCCCTCTTCGCTCACCTCCCTATTTGTTGACTGGAATCAGTCGACATCGCCCGCTCTTGCAGCTGAGCACACCAGTTGGTGGCCACCGACGAAAGTGCTCCCCAACACCAGGCGATTAAAGCAACGCTCCACCCGGCGCTGTGCTCTTCGGGTCGGCTGCGCTGCGAGCCGGCTGAGCTGCAACAGGCTGTGTGCGCTCCCAACCCCCCCTGTCGTGTCCGGCTGCTGATTCTTCGTCACCCCCAAATCTCCAAATCTACGATCTTAATCCTCTGCTCGGTGGTGGCTGTTGGTGCTAGGTTGGGTGTGCGGGTAAGGTGAAATAAGCGAAGATGAGAAAGATGAAGATGATGGCAAGGGCAGGGTCGCCTCTTGAGGCTCGAAACATATCTTCTGCTCCTGACCTTTACGAAGACGAAATGTGCAATGAGGAATAGATAACTGTTTGGAGATTGCGGAGATTGTATTCGGAGATCGCACCCCCGTTGCGAGCTTGCCGGGCATGAGTCTTTGACACGCGTGTGCAGAAAGCAGATACAGCACCAGCACCACCAACGGCACCAACTCACACCGAACACCTCCCTTCGTTCGTAGAGAATTCAGGCGTGGGGAAGCGTGAAAGAGAAGCACGAAGAGCCAGGTTCGTGACAACATTGCGCGTGTTCCAGTGCAAGTACCGTACAAGCCTTGAACGGTTTCCGAGACTCACTGCTGCTGCGGAAGAACGAGTGCGGCAGTCTATCCGTACCACTGTACGCCGTGGCTGTAACGCTTTCGTGGGCGCTTCTTGTTCTCCCTTGGTTTCTCAGTTGTGATGTTACTCGTTCAGCTCTGTCGTAAGCTGTTGGTTGTTCAAGCTGCTGTGTCTCCAATCGCAAACACAACCCGTGTCCACAAAGACTGATCACTCTTGATCACTCTTTTAACTCTCGTTCGGCATTCGACTGACACGAAACGCACAAACGGCACAGACCTACGCTCATTTCGCACTGCTGTTTTGTTCCGGCACACCACCTTAGGTTTGTTCTCCCTAATCAGTGACTCGGCAGCAACGTTTCGCCTATGGTTGCTGTCTAAGGGTGTGTATACATAAATGTGGAAAAATAATCGTGCCGCATTCACACAAGTGGGTCCCACGCCCCGTAGGCTAGACATGTTCACTGATCGCTGGTTTGAGCGTGTGTGCTGGGATTGGTAGGTAGAGACTCATATTCAAGTACGCAGTGACGCATCCTGCACACAAATCATCGTCAGGAATCCCAGCTTGAAAATGTGCTTGTCTGTATGCCTACCCTCGTTCCGTACCATGTAACCCAAGCCGTGAGATCTACGGTTACATTATTCGAGCTGCTGCAGCAGCAGTGTAGCATTAGCCCATGCGCAGTTCAGCGGGCGCATGCATGCACCTATGCATACAGACGTTTCGCCCATGATCGTGTTATATTCAAGCGTTTCTCAGAAGTACGTCGTAACCCTAGCCCTATGCTCTGTGCAATGACCAACAGCTCTGGTAGGGTGTTTCACGACCAAACGTACTGCTGTAGCTCATGTTCGAAATTCTGCGCGGTTTGACGGCCAATCGAGATAAACTATGCACGCTTCCACCGGCTTTGCACGCGAGGGCAGCCCGCAGCCGGGACCCGGCGGGCGGATTCAAGGACGAGCACAACAACAACCAGTGACTGCAATTCAACAGCAGCAGGCAGTAACAACAACAACGACAACCACAGCCACAGCATCAACAACAACAACCACCTCCCCGCCTCCATTTCCCGTACACACCCAACGCTACAGCGCACACAAAGGTACGAGCTACATCACACGATCACGCCAGTCCTCGCTACGGCGGAAGAAGAAGAAAGAGCGGAAGAAACATGCCTGGGCCGGGGGGTGGGGGTGGGTTCGGTGGCGGTTTTGGAGGCGGGGGGCCCGGTGGCTTTGGGGGGGGACCGGGGGGGTTCGGCGGGCCTGGAAGGGGGTTCGGCGGGCCTGGGTGGGGCTTCGGAGGCCCTGGATTTTTCGGCCGTGGATGGCCATTCATCTGGGGCGGCCCAGCGATGGGACCGTGGGGATTGCCAGTGAGTTCCTTCAGGCGCTTGTGTGAAGTGTTTTGGACGTATTCATATGCATTCGCGTATGTACGTGTATTGCCATCGCCTTCCAATCGTGGAACAGTGTTTTAACCTCCCCTCTCCATTTCTTTTCGAGCATGATATACCATCTCCCTCTCGGAACGGATGTCATCTACCGTGTCAAAGGTAGTAATTATTTGGATCTATTGCCCTGGGTGTTGCAACAGGCAAGAGCAAGAAGCAAGAAACGTGGGCGAGCACGCATGTCGACACCTATAGTAAGCAGGTCGAGGGGAATGTGACAACGAGCCTTTTTTCTAGTGTGAAACGACGCGCTTTTACGCCTTTTCAAGACTTGTCGAAGTTTTCTTACATCCAACGATGGAGTTTGGTCGGGCTGATTATGTCATTTTTCAACGAGATTGTTCGTCTGGAAGGATACGCGGAATCGAATCGAGCCAACGGTGAACAAGAAAATCCCTTCATTCTAACGAGGTTCACACACATCTCCTTCCCCTCGGCCTGCTCCCCGGCCGGGGCCGAAATCGACCTAGTGAGTCCCTCGCGGGCGAACCAGGCTACAACAGATAGTAGGCAGGTGGTGTCCCAAGGTGCAACTCACCGCCGCGCTGGCCCAGCGTGGCGGTGAGGATGCACAGACGGTGGTAGTGACGAGAGGTGTGTATGGACACTGTTCCCGCGGCAGTAATGCAAAGCGGCAAACTGCACCTGGCAACCACCGTNGCAAGGCGGCTGCGAAGAAGGCACGAGAGGGCGACCTATCGTTCAGCACGTTTAACGTACGCACGCTCGGCTTCAGCGGTAGGAATCCCATCGGTCACAACGTGATGACGGTCATGCAGATTTGTTCCGCGACCGGCTGTGATGTGATAGGACTTCAGGAGACCCAACGAGAGGGGCAAGAATCAATTGCACACGACGGGTACGTGATCATCTGGAGTGGCGCCCGTGCTGGCACCAAGGACAAGAGGGGCGTACACGGTGTGGGCATAGCGATCAAGGAGGCCATGTGGGAGAGTGTGGGCGAGGAAGGTAGGACGGTGGAGTGCATTTGCCCGAGGCTGATGAAGGTGCGTCTACAAATTGGCCGCACCTGCGGAGTAACTTTCGTGGTGGGGTATGCCCCCACGGAAACTGTCCGCACCACCGCGGGCGGTGATGTTAACGCCAAGGATTCCTTCTGGACTGCTCTCGACGCAGCGATCCGGGAGGTTCACAGCCGTGACCATCTTTCTTCCGGACACCGAAAGGTGGAGTGAAGCACACATTCCAGAGCTCCAACAAGGGGAAGGAGAAGTACTGCCTCGACTTCATCCTCATGCGTCAGGCGGGACCGGCGTTTCGTGCGTAATGTCTCCGTCAAACGTGTCCACTTCAAGGACGCTGACCACAACTTACGACTGTCCGCCTCCCCCCCCGTGTCGCACCCAACCGACGAGTGCGGGGAAACAGCGGAAGCAGCCGGATCCGTATCGACCTCGAGCTGTCAAGGAACGACAAACACCTACGGATCGCCTTCCAAAACAGAGCCTCCAGCCGCCCTACGCCCACGGCGCTCAGGCGGCCAACGGGAGAGACCGCCGCCGAGCTGACGGCTACGGTGATGTCGGCCGCCGCTGAGACCGCGCCGCTGGCGAAGTGCGCACGAGGGCAGAGCGGCTGGTACACGAGCGAAGCGCAGCACGAGATATCCAAAGCGTCTAATGAGATTAGGGCGGCCCAGCAGCAACGGCGTGGGGCCTCGAAGAACGGCGCCTTCGAGGCGACCTGAAGGCGATGCTCAAGGCGGCGCGGAAGAAGCGCAGCATCGCGAGGTGGAGAACACCGGAAACTTTCTTCGAGGGCTATGTACGGCAGCTCGAGAAGAAGAACCGCGAGGGGGATCAGGCGGGTTTCTACAGGCACCTGAAGATGATCGACGTCGAAGGTAAGAGGTCGTTCACCTCTCA